TTGCCTCGGCCCTGGGTCTGCGGTCTCTGCTCCGTGCACCATTGTGCCATGCAGGTATCCTAGTTGCCTCTGTAGCTCATTAATTCTCAAAGATCTTCCAGACCTGCTTGAAAATATATGTTTGTCTTTTCTTTCTTCTAATTTCTTAAAGGGCAGAAAATATTCTTCTAATGCCTCCTTCCTACCATATATGGTGTAGGACAATTTGGTTTTTAAGGATTATTTTTAGGTCTATGATGTACATTTAGACTAATCGCTTATACAGCTCTTTGCAAAGGAATTCAGGAAGTAAAAGCATAAGTGTATAAATTGTCATCTTCAGGTCATCCAGCTGCAAAGGTAATTCCGCTGAATTTCAGTCCCAGGCTGCCCTTCAGCCAGTGCCTCCCTCTCTTTGCAGGTACAGTTGCGATGCTTGGTGCAGCAATAACTGCATCAGGTAAATAAACCCCCCAGACCAGGAAACTCCAGCCTATAACATGCATTCCCAGGAACTGGTACAAACTAATGGAACAGACTCAGGGTAGGTGGGAAAAACCTCTGCAGCAGATCAATCAAGCTGCTCCAGTGAGGTCACTGGAATGGATCCAACAAGCAGGGAAGTTGGGGCAATTGAGGCAATTATCCAAGTGATCACATGGCAGCCAGAGAAAAGGGAAATATTGCATTTTCTCCATAAGAAGAAACATTATTTACACAGCCTGGCTTAGACAGAGTTGGCTCTGTTTCATAACATTTCATATCTTTCATTGCTCTATGTGCACTATGTATTTTAAGAATTGGGTAACAATGGCCTTATGGAAATTAAAGGAAGTGAAATAGATGTCACATTTTAAAAAGTTCACGTAGCCAGTCCAGCTGGTGTAAATGCTTTTTACTCTTGGACCAGACCTTTGGAAACCTCAGCAAGTTCTAAATAAGCCAAGACCATAACCTGGTATACTCAAGGCCTGCTGGGCTTATATGTGTATATGTGTTTGACCATTTGTGTTGTAATTACATGCTGTGTTCAGGCCACATTCCCTTTGCTTGTGCCGTCCAAGCCAAAAATGTCAAACAAGTGTTACTGTCAGGGGCAGAATCCCCGAGGTTGCTCGAGAAGGAAATGCCTGGCTGTAGGGATGCAGTATGAGATGGGGTGGAAGAGAGCCAAATAAGGTCAAAAGGTATGGGGATGCAGTACATGCCCTCATCTCCAAGGCACTCATCTTTTTCCCACACGGCAAGTTCACCAGCAACCTGGTATGTAGCAAATGATTACAGAGTGTAGAATATGTTAAACACTGCTTCCTTATAAAAGGAATGGCTGGCTTTCTAGCAACAGCCAGTCTCCCTATTGCTTCTACATAGTCCTCCCTCTCCTGGCACTGAAGAGCTGCCAGCCTGCTGTAGCTAAGCCCACAAGCAGAAGCAGCCTGCAAAAGTTGCTCATGTAGCAGCTGCTCCATCAAACTCACAAACTCAGTTGCCACAACACTAGAGCAAATACTAAGAGTTTGCACTGTGGTGGGGAAATCAAGGAGGATGGGCCTTCTGTTCTTCCAAGTAATTCCTTCTGCAGACAGCCTCTAAGGAGAACAAACTCTTCCCCTGGTGTTACAGAACAACCACTTGACTTCCACTGAGCACTAGAGACTGGGTACAAAATAATGCCTGAGGTCTGCTTTTGAGGTCTGGAACGCACAGCACAGCCACTCCCCAAAAGCATGAAACGTCAGTGATTACAATAGAGGTAATACATCCTTTTCTCACTGGCGGGTGAAGAGTTTTACCTCCTTATTTTGTGTCTTTCAACATCCCCTTTTTCAGCCGCCACCAAGAGGCAAACTTACTATTGCAGCTGCTTCCCCACAGTCCAAGAAGCCACAACCACAAGAAATCGTACTGCGTCTTCACTCCCTGAGCAACCACGTGGCAAGCATGGTACTGTTTGCATGCCGTTTATTTGAACCAGGAAGCCCTCAGAACAAATAAACTACAGCCAGCTGAGATGAAACATGCTGATGAGGATTGCCTTAGGGTTTCTCCTCAGGGAACAGGCAATTCTTATAATGCAGATCTGAAGCTAACTTCTGCTCTCCAATGTATTGGTATTTTTCAGAGCAGTTTGATGAAAGCAACTGGGTGGCAAGCAGTGACACTGTCTCAAATTACCACAGCTGTGTGGGGGTATTTTTTGTTTATTTTTGTTGTCAGAGAACAGGATTTGTTCCTTGGTTTCTCCAGCAAAAATACCTCTTAAGATCTGGAATTCTTATTTGGGACCTTCAGAAATTAATATGACCTTATCTCTACCATAGCATAGGGTATATCAATCGCTAGAGACCTAACATTACCTTTTCTGCCTAGACAGGTGCTTCACAAAATCTGAGAGGGTAATACCATACAGCTAAGCCTACAAGAGGCTCATGGAAACCTGAAATGATGACAAGCAAATTATTTCATCACCACTCAAGATCTTTTTTTTTATTTTTCTGAACATGTCCATCCCAGGGACCAAGCTTTGCTGTGACTTCTGGACCAATGTCCACAGCTGGATCTAGGCAGGCTGAGGAGTGTGTGAGATTTTAATGCGAATGGCTGAAGGAGTAAAAAGGGAAAAAAAAAAAAAAAAAGGCTCAGTCTTGCCAGAAATGCTTTTTTTCCCATTCACTGATGGTCGTAAAAGCAAAGGGAAAAGGGAGATGGCAATCTGGAGTTCCCACTCACCAGTCAGTATGCTCATCATTCCTTACATCTGACTCTTTTCTTGAGCCAAAGTTTAAATACTTGGTTACAAGGTCTGGGCATCCAGGATTGCCCCCTAGTGAAAAAAGCAGTAAAACTAGACCTTGTTTTATCCAATATTGACTGCTCAATTCTATCTCAAACAGGAACTGTTGGTAATTAAAGCACGACCCTTTGTCCTACTGTTTTGTAAACAGTCTGGACTACGAGTCAACATGGAGATGATATGCAGATCTGTCTTTCATTTCCATCACACCAAATGCCAATCTGTGTTTTCTTTTCCATTGCAAAACTCAGATCAGGAGTTGGATCAGACTTAAATGGCTGAGGTTTAACCCAGACAAGAGTCAGTTGTCGTTTGTGGAGGGAGGGAAGAGCTCTGAGTGTGCTGAAGAGTGTGTCATGCCTTGGTACTCAAATTTCCTCTTAGGCTTCCAAGCAATTAAAAAATTGTGACAGTGCTTTGGCCCTCTGGATACTGCAGATTAGGATGGGATTGGTTGGGCTGACACATAGATAGTTTAGGGGAGTGGAGGTTCTCTGAAGCAACTATTGTTGAAGGAGTCATGCCTCTAAAACATGTTTGGAGCTGAATAGTCCCGGTAGCTGTGGAGAAGAAATCTGGTTTCCTCCTCAGCAGACATTGGTATACAATATTTTTGAGAACTGAACCCCTCATCACAACAGGGAATGAATCTTCTCTTCCCTCCGAAGTCTCCAAAACCAAGTTCTAGAGCTTCTGGGCTGAAAAAAATCTGCTTTCCCTAAAGGCATGATAGAGTTCTGATCTTTTCCTTTAAATCTTCATGGTGATTAAAATTGGACTTTAATAGTTGCATGGATTCCTTTTAGGGTTGTGTTGTTGTTTAATTAAAATAAGTATGTTAGCAAAAGTGAAGAACATCCTTAAACTGCACAGTGATTACTCCATGGAAATGAACCCCTTTCTTTTTGCTTTTTCCTCTTTTCATAGGTAAGGTGCCCTCATTCTTCTAAAAGGTAAGGTTGTTTGGTTTTTTTTTTTCATATATGCAGATCTAGTTCTGATTTCCTCACCTTTTTTTGCATCATCCCTGGAAAGACCAACACTCGTTTACAGAATTAAGAGATTTTATGACGACAAATTGGTGTCATTACCTCTGTTATACAGTAAGGTACATGCAGGTATAGTGACTCATCCAGCATCACCCAGTAGGCTGACGGAAAAACTGGGGAAAGAACCTGCCATTCTGAGCCCCAGGTCAATGCCCCGTCAATGAGCCCCCCCTAACTGTAAGGAACAATTAAGCATTCATACAGCCTTAGCAGAATTGCATAGCTCTTCATTGCTTCATTCAGCCACTGCCTCCCCTACAAAATCAAAACCAAACTCAAACAGCTGACTAGAAAGGAACCAGCTATAATGAGGAAGACATGGGAGACTGGGGTGGGGAGGGGGGGCATCTGAATGCTCCATTTTTTAACAGACTCCTGTTCCTTTAAATATCTGTGAATTTCAGTAACAGAACCAAAGAAATCTTTTTGGAGGTGTTTCCTTTCTCCACTTCCAGCAGCTACTGAACCCGTGCCAAATACCAGAGGAGAGAATAAAACAAAAAAGGGAAAGGACACCACCACTAGCTTTTAAGCAAGTATCTCCTATGCAATCCAACAGTCCCAAACCATTTCATATGTTACTGTCACACACTTGAATACAACTATGTTGCAACTATGTATTGTCATATTGGCAGCCAAAGCCTGATAGCACCTCAGGTACCTTTCTCTATGTTGTATGCGTTAGTCTGTCAGGGTAGGGTCATAGGAGTTTCTAGGCACCCCGCACAATCCAGGCGTGGTTTTGTTTATTATTACCGGGTATCTGCCTGGTGGAGCAGAAGATTATGCCACCTGTGACTGCAAACACTTTTGCTTTAAGGTTTCATGACCTATAAATTTGTTAATGCCGGAGAAAACGGAGATGGAAAGAGAAAGGAAAAAGCGAGAAAAGAATGTAGTTTTGGTTCGTGGGATATTCTTTATATATATATTTTTATTATAATAGAATGCATATATAATTTTACCTTTATGCACTTATGCATGTGTATTTTTCTATTTGTCTATGTATATAATTATTTAGCTGACCTGTTTAATGGAGAAAAAGAATCCTAGAGCTGGGAGGGACAAATTGTATTTATATGTGTGTATATATATATATGTATAATGGAATATAATTTCAGACCAAATCTACAAACTCAAAGTTTTCTCTTAAATAGTTTTTCATGTTTAAATCTTACCTCTGCTCCATCTGTGGGTCACAGTGGCATGAGCACTGTAATAGAACAGCAGCAGCAGCAAAGTCTTCCAAAACATCCTTCTCTTTAAAATACGTATGTCTAGCTGTATAGTCGATTTTTAATTTCCTAGTCCTTTCTTTTCAGGAATAAATAAATGGCTTTTCCTCTCCCCCTCCCCCTTCGAAGGAGAACCTGTCTGTTCTTCTGAGGACAGCTGAAGTCAGCGTGCAGCTCCTCTCCCAAACCAAGTCTCCTCGGGATCAGGAAACTTACTTTCACAGACAGACTTTGTTTTTATCCACATCTGGAATGACTCATGGTGCATGTGAGTTTGCTGGCAGCTGTGTGAATAAATATCATTACATTTTTGTAGTTGAGTTTCATTTGTTATATGGGCCAGTTGGAATTTATTTTTGTCCAATAAACAGCCACAAGTAACTTCATTAAAGGACAGTCTTGAACCCTAGCTCTGTAGCTACTTCTCTGTAATGCAGGGGGCTATATGCTAACCCATGTCTCAGGCAAAAGCCTCCTCTGGAATGATGTACAGCTGCCCTCGCATGCTTAAGCCAGGGAGTGGGCCATGTGCTCTGCAAGAACGTTTTGCTACTGTGATTCATATAATCACTCCTTTATTAAGAACATATAATGCCGCACTGAGACTTCAGTCCTGCAAGGCAAGTCCTGGCCTTTTCCTCCATTTGGCCAGTGCAAAGAACAGTAAGGTCCAAATCCTTAACTGGCTCTCTTCAACGGTACTGTAGGAAAACGAAGCAATCCTAAGGACAATCTGCAATAGCCAGGCTGAATATGGAGAGGTGATGCTGAACAAGAAGGCTACTGAGAGACATCTCCTTGCTGACACTGGCCCCAGGGAAGACAACACTGGAAACATTTATCCCAGACCATCCAGCACGGAGGAAGCTGCATCTACGTACCGTCCCTGGCACAGCTTCACCAGCAGCACCAGGGGGTGCTTTGTGGGAATACAGCACTGGAATAACAGCAGGTTGCTGTGCATTGGAACAGACTGGTGAAAAACAGGAACTCAAGGGGTATTTAGCAGAATCAAGGGATAGAGGATACTCCATTTAGTGCATAGAAGTGATGAGTCTAATTCTCTTCTTTTATAGGTGAGCGTAAGCCAGGAACAAATCCACAGACATCCATGAATTTACACTGGTGTAAAATTGGCACATTAGAAAGGAGACTCCAGCTCAGAAAGTATAAATAGAAGAATTAAGGGGAAGGACCAAGAGCTGAAATGACAGAGGGCACTGTGGCTCAGGATTAATAGACACTGGCAGGAAGGCACGGAGAAAACCTGTTCAGCTCCTGAGCTGCCTCCTGCTAAAGTTTGGCCTTAGCCTCAGTCCCCTCATTCTTCTCTGTCCCGGCTTCCAGTAACACCACCTGTGAAGGAAGGAGGAGGGTCAAATAAGGTTGTCTTGCTTAAGGCGACTCCACTCCTTTTCCTACATGTACAGATTTTCCTACGCCCGGACTGCCTCAGGTTACTCCCACATGAACAGCACATGAATGTAAGACAGTATTTTAGATGCCAAGGATATGACAAAAGGCATAATTCAAGCAGAGGGTGGCTAACTAACTCTCTCACTACATACTCTTCCTGTTACCATAACATAGTGATGGGTCTGAATGCAAGGTTAAATCTAGGAGTGAGCTCACTCATTTGTATCTGTCCAGAAATTATGGAGTTGGATTAAACTCGTTTTACATTCCCTAAGAGGGGCAGAGAGAAAGAGAGATGCCATAAGAGGATGATTATTCCTACTTAGCTCAGATAAGTCACTTAGGACAGAATGAGTTGCTCTCTGGAGGAGGTGGATCCAGTCATCAGCATGGCCAATTCTGAGATGATGTGCATCAAAATGATTTGCATCAAGAAGGTGCAAGTTGCACCATAGTAAGGGGATAATGATCTGTCAGCTGCTGAGGAAAAAACATTGTGGTGTAACTCCTACCGGAAAGACTTCAACCAGTAGGGAGGGCTTGAGGAAGTATACTTTAATTTAGCAAGCCACCTTAGCGAAAGCCTTCTAGCAAGCAAACAGAGTGGATATAGGTTACTTCATTAACTTAACTGCGACAGCCTGGCTACCCTGGCACGATGACCTTAATGTCAGCAGGGTCTGTGAACAAGATGTTTCAAAGTCAGGTCAACAAGGGAGAAGCAGCACTTAGGATGCACATTGCAGACTTGGGAAATGAAAGAATATTACAAGAAAATGTAAAATCCTGTGGGGTAACAAAGGAACACATTTTCAGTGGTATTGGGGGAGGAGCAGTGGAAACTTTTCTGAGGTGCTGTATCATTCCATTGCTTACATCTAAGGAAACAGCAGCCAATAAGAGGGTATGAAGGAGGTCAGACCGGCGCCGTCCCCCTCTAAACAAAATCAGAACTATTTTGCAGAAAGCTCTGCAGGATGGCGCTGCCCCCTGGCTGCCAGAAACAGGGACACTTCCTCTGCTCTTTCATTGTCACCGCTTAATATATCCAGCCTAGAAAAGGAGAGGAGAATAAACCCAGGAATTTCCTTCCGTAATCTTCCCCTCCACCTCCAGCCTCTGGAGCAAGCACCCTAGGAGCAACAGAGGAGCAACAGCTGAGAGAGACACAAGACGTGCAGTGAGAATGGCATACAGGTCAAAGAGATATAAGACTATGGACTGATTACCGATCTCTCCTTTTATAGGTGCTGGAGATGTTGCTCTGAAGCTACATTATATGCAATAGCCCCACTCCCCAGTCCAGTCTTCAGGCGTTCCAGCTCTGACTGCCTCTCTGCGTGTACCACAACCACAGGGCAAATTTGACTTTAAGACTGTGAGTGATGCGCTCCCATCTGTTTTCTTACAGGAAATACAGCTGTAAATAGAACAGGTCCATGTAAAATAAAGAATGCTTTCTGTGTGGCATCTCCTCAAGAAGTATAAATGCCCTTTTCCCCCTTAAAAGTGTAGATCTTTTTCTCTCCCATATGGATGTAAATATAAAGACAGTCATATTCTCCTTATTAAAAAGCCCTCCAGATGAAGCCAGGAAATAAATCTTTCAAGCATGCTCAGGGCACTTCAACTATACAGCTTCTATTCATCTCATGACTATATTTTATTAGATAGTTGCTCAGTTTCAGCTCAAGGCAGTTTCTGCCTGTGCTGGAGGTTTGAATCTCTGCAACTATAATGAATGCTGAAGCAGGGCAGAAATCCTCACTATTTATAAATATTAAACACTCCTAGATTGCTTTGGAAGTGTCAAGCAGAGGAGCTTTACAGTGGAGTATTCACCCTGAAGATGTGTCTGGTGGGAGAGGGTACCATGCTGCTGAAGCCAGGAGGCTGAGAGCTGGTCAATATTCAGGTCTAAAATCAGTGTAGTGCTAGACATTGTCACAATCATGTTAAGGTGAATATTATGTTTTACCAGTTCTCATAAATTTAGGTGTTGGAGCTGTCAGTTCTCCAGTGCTCCTAGTATCTGAGAGACCTTTCAGGCACAGGGAAGGTGTGACTGACTGCTGCCTCTAGCAGGCTCTTTGAGGTAAAAATGAACATTTATGCAACTTTTGGTGATACAACTAGATACCAAGGAAGCAGCTTTTCCATTTGATTCTTCCATCCTGATGCTGTCAGCGAGTGTCTGTACACACTGCTACTCCCACGCAATCTTTTTAAGAAACCTGGAAATAGGGCAGGGAGGAAAGAAGTGGGTGAAGACTGAAGAGGAAAGCTGCCAGCTGCTTTTTTGTAGCCCATGCAGAGTGAGAGCAGAAAGCTGGTACTCCAAAGCCATCCCTCCTTCACATCACAGGTGCTGTCATGGTGAAAGGACAACTTCAGCAGGCTAGGAGCATAACTCATTGTGTGAAATAACTTATCATCTAAAAAGAGAATAGAAGGGGAAACAAGGCAATGGGTGATCCAAGATCAGCAGCCTGTGGGTCTTCCAAGAAAAATAATCTCTTTTTCGCTGGAGAATACCAGCTCATGACGTCAGTTCAGCTTTGGCTTTGATGAGTGTTTGCCAAACCCAAGGCGGGGTTGCAGCCTGCCCTGACACCTCAGTTGCTGTGAGAGTCCCTTCCAAGTCCTCTGTCAAACAGACAGATTTTTTTTAGATTTGCCCTGTTTCAATGAGGAAACAAAGTGTGTGCAGGGAGGAAGTTCCTCCGAACCAGAAACTGCAGCCAGAGCCCTGCCCTGCACCACAGGCGGCACAACATCAGCCTGCCGCTATGTCAGCACAGTGGAACAATATTGATGCATGACACAGACGTTGGTCGCCTTCCCACCACAGAGATGAATAAATGGAGACATACACACAAAGTGACTCACTGACTGAATGAGTTGGGGACAGAAACCAAGAGCCGATCCATTCCTTTGCCCAAAAATACCAGGCCCCAATTTGGCACTGCAGCAGCTCACACAGCCCCAGTGCCATCTACCAAAAAGACAAAGTAGCTTCCAGAAGAGGCCAAGAAATACCCTCATAACTAGGAGCACAAAGACAGAAAAAAAAAAATAGCTGTACACAAGCTCTCAGGAGAAGAAAAGATGTTCTTTCGAAACTGGAAACTCTACTAAGAGACTCTTGCTGGCCCCTCAGCTGAAGTTGCACCTTCCTGCAGCAACAGTTTGGATGGCAGAATCTCACTGAGCCTCAAAGCAACAGCAGCCAGGATGAGCCTTACAGAGCCATACAGTGCAATGGAGTTGTAAGCTGGAAGGAGGCATCGTTTAGTTGTCCCTCTGCCCCAGAGCTCCCTTGCTACCTTGATCTAGCTGCCTGAGCTCACATCCACAAGAGCACTTAGGTGCTGTGCTGATACTTTACAGAGCTACGTTTAGATAACCAAAATTTAAATTCTGCCCATGCAGGTTTGCAGATACCTGAATTCCTTGTGTGCCTAAGCTTCAAGGCTTCTTAAATGCTTGTATCACTGTGTCTACCTTGAAAACATTGAGCCACTCACATCCTATTTCATATTTCAAACAAAATATTAGGACTTGCCTTAATATTTACAAAAATATGTAACTGCAAATGCCCCT